TGGCTGCCAGTCAGGAGGAAATCTCTGATCAGTTCCCTTACACTTGCTTTTATGCCTTTGTGAGCCAAAATGACTCACAACAGTTGCATAGTTCGAAGGAAAGGAGATGTTTTACCACGTAAAACACTCATTCGTTAGTGATTAACGCTTTGCCACGTTTCTAAAAAATGCTTCAGCTTAATTTCGTCTTTCATTTTTTTGGAAGTCAGCTCCACAATGTGGAGTTGCTTGTGATCCGGAAAAGTTGCAGGAAAAACCTCAGGTTTCCAAAGGAAGCTGGGTTGTGAGCAACTTTCGGGGTCGTCCAATTTGTGCCTTTTAAATAGGAGCTTTGACATAGAACCTGACGGAGTGATCTGGGAGAGAAATGGGAGAAGTAAGGTGTCCTCAAGCCCTAAGTGAAATTGGGTTTTGTTGGTTATTTTTGAGGAAGCCTAGCTGTTATGATTTTCTTTTTTTAAAAAAGGCAAATCACTTTTTTGTAATAGAGTATGTGAGCAGATAAGTCAACATACTTATGATGAACAGGGGTGCTTTGGATGTGTGATGGTAAACTAGTTCAACACTAATATTAATATGGACACCTTTAAGGTCTAGCTGTGGTTGGACTAGTCAACCCGCTTATTTAGGGGTACCCATAAATTTCAGAGTGCTGTCTTGAGGGAGCTATGCTCTCAGCTAAGGTATCACTACACAGCACTGCCCTCACCCTGTAGGTATACCTGCTGCTTAGTATTTGACACTGAATAAGCACCTCTTTTGACCTTCTTGTCAAAAAAACGGTGACTCTAACAGGTCACGAAGATTGAATAACCTTTTATCACTAGAAATGTGGTCACTTCAGGTCCGAGGGTTTGTGACATGTTGGCAGGCTTGTTGGCAGAAGAACCCACGTATTGCATAAACTGGAGAATAGCAAGACCTGCTTCCACAGATGAAGTTTCCTATATGAAGTACTGCAGTGACTGACTTGCAGGAAAGGACTAAAAAAAGGAAAAGGATAAACTCAAAATTTCACTGCTTAAGTAGTCTTCTAAATTTTTGTAATGAAAAACTAGCCTGTTTAAAAATCTGGCAACTTGTTGAAAGTTTAAACAACATAATTTTTCATTCAAATAAAATAAATTGGGAGAAGACACTGTGTTAGCGAGTGAAACCTGTTTCGTTGTCAGGATGATAAACTGGTTTCTGATGACCATAACCATTCCTGCGGGCAGAGAAAAGGATCTTTCTTTGCTTCAGCTTATTTGGTTCAGTTTTATGACTGAGCTCATTTAGAGTTAAGCAAAGGAAAGCAAGCAAAGCTTGTATTTAATTAAAAATTAACGTGTTTATTTGTAATGATTAATGGTTCTTTGGCAAAATAGCTAAAAATATATGCCACTTCAAATGTGTTATTTATAAGACATTTTTGTTAGTGATATGTTACACCTTCACAGTTATTTAAATCACTGACTTACAGTCTGTAGAACAGACTGATGCACTGCAAATTTGCAAGTATAAGCCAGGGCAATGATTCCATTTGTACAGGCAAGAAAAGTAGAGGCTTTTTACAGCCTGAAACCATTTCGACCTTGGGTTTTTTTTTTTTTTGTTTCTCATCTAATACTACATGATGAGTGCTAAATCTTGTTTTCTAAAGCAGTATATGCTGATTATGAAAAGTTGAATTATCCTCAATTCCTCTTATACGTGTGAGTTCCCTAAAGGAGGAAAAACAAAATGAGTGCAACAAGCTAACATTTGGATCTTTGCTTGGACAATTGTTCTTAATACTTGAAAAACATGGAAAAATATTTGGGGTATTTTTTTTTTGCTCCTGTAAGGACAGGGAGATCTTGTTTATGGCATTCTTCATCTCGTTGGTTTTATTATTATTGCATCTGCATACATTTAAACTATTATGCATGTTAGGTTTTGACATTTGTAGGTGGAAATACTTTTCAGGTTTTGTTACGAACACGAGATGATTGTATTTGAGCTAAAAATCTTGTATTTCCAATTTGTATTTGAGGTGTTGTCTTTTGCATTATGCAACATTAGAGGAGAATCTTGCTTACTGTGGGGTAAATGCCCATTTGCCCTGCTTCCTGTGATAGTAAGAAGTATTTTAAGAAAGAAAAAGGAGAGGGGAAAAAAAGAAAAGCCTCTTGGAAGTCTGACTATAACCTTGTGCTCCCCACAAAATGTCCTAAAGTGTCCTTTTTTAAATTCCTAAGTGCAGTATCTTGCAGAGATGCTTAGTGTGCTCTCGGTGTGAAATTTCCTGCCCTGTATGTATTGAATCTGAATGGTTAGCGGAATCTGAAAATAGCTTATAAGGTAATGAGGTAATACTGTCCCTTAAGTTTTTTTTAATATTGGCTGCTTAAATAGGTTTACCCCCTCATGTCTCAGGAAAGAGATTTGCTTAATCTGCATTTATTTGGGAAGAAATTTCCCTCTAAGAACATGTTATATTGTGTCCATTGCGGTGGATTGACCCACTTCCATGATCCGTCTGGCACTGGGGTTTGATGGGGACTGGACAGTGGGGCTGTAAAGCAAATGACAAATTATTTCTAACGGAAGATGGAGGTTCAGTTAAGGTCGCTTCACCTTTTCACATGTAAGATACACGTTGGGGCACACTCTGCGTGTGCAGTTTGCCTTTCAGAAATGGTAAGTTCTCTTTGTAGGTATTGAGGGTGCTGCCCCTTGACGCCTGGGAGCTGTGTTGGTGTATGTCACGTTAAGAGGAATGGACTTTTTTCTTATTTGAGTAGGCAAATGTTGAGGACAGGCGGAGAAGTCAGCAGCAAGTCATGTCAGTGGTTCAGTAGGTGGCACTCTTTCTCTGAAATTACTGTCCTGGTAAAGTATTTGTTGGAACGATTTGGCAAGAGGCGCTCATTGAACGTGACATAAACTACATTTCGATAACTTGATCATTGGAGCTCTTATAATGCATTTTCCAGGGTTATGAGGCAGTTAACCTTGCTTGCAAAGTGTAATTGCATTTTTGTCTCCTGCAGTTCCTCTCATAATTCCAGTAGGATGCAATAGCATCCTGCACTTTCTGCCTTGAGCTGATTTATAGATGTGCTGTGGAAAGAGGAGGGGCTGTTTTGTCAGAGCTGGATCGAGTGTTCCACGCTGGTTTTAGAGTTTTTGCGTTAAGTCCGCGTAAAACGTTGCAGGAGAAACGTTGAAATGAGGTGGCTCTCCAGCAGTGCCTGTTGTGGGAAACAAGTAGCGCTGACAACAGCAAGAGGTTGGCAGCACTTTTAGAAGTGTGATAGGATTTTAACAGGAAGAATTAGGACATGTGGAGCGTTCCTTGAAAACGTGGGTTTGTTTCCTGGATACTTATATTCCTTTTAGGAGGTAGGCAGGCATAAGGATGCTGAATTGGCAAGTTATTTCGAACTCTGCTATAATTAAGGTTGAAATGCCAAAAAACAAAGTGTCTCTTTTTTAAAAAATCAAAAACTATTTAAAAAAAACCTGTATTGAAAAATAACATTACACTTTTCCAGGCAAGCCTTATAAAATGCTGAGCAGTTTCTTGGGAAGATGTATTTATCTAGCAGGGGGATAACCTTTCTTCTGTAAAATCTTTCCGTTGTGAAATATCACTAAGTTTTTTCTGTAAGTTAAAGACATTTGGCCATGTTTATGAGTTTCTTTAAATATTTCCATTCTTCATTTTTCTCTCATTGTGATAAAATCAACAGTTAAAAACCACAACTCTACAATAGTAGGAGTTTAAATAGATACCTTAATTTTTGTGACACTCATGAGGTGCAAAAGTGCTGTGGCTTTTTTCATATCCCAACACTCATTTTCATAAAATGACCGTTTCAAAGAAAGTTACTGTGTGGTTTTAATACACTGTACATACATTTAAATTGTCACCAGGTGCATTTGCATGAGGTATGTGGACATAACGTCTTGAAATGAAACACTTAAGTGTGTTGGAAATTTATTGTATGTTTGGAATGCTTGTCTGATTAACCCTTCCCTGATCCTTTTATTTATGTGTCCCTTAATATGGACTTGTGTCTTTATAGTCTTTCTTGTGCTATTAAGTCACAATGACCTAATTATGAGAGATACACGTAAGGAAAGCATCTATGTTGGGACTCAGTGCATAGGTGGTTTTAGTTAAATAGAATGTGAAGGTTGATAGTGTTATGCCAATACCTGCTGTATAGAAGTTGAAGTAGTTCCTGTATGTGACAGTCCATTCTGAAATGGGGAGCTACCTCATGTCATGTCAGATATTTTTAAATCTTGTTACCGCCCGGTTCAGAGACGGCAAGGGTTAAGAACGTAATGTGAGGAGCTGTATGAAGGTAGTTTGAGGATAATTTACATAATGACTGCCATGAGGAACAAGCTTGCTGAGGTCCAAAGATAGAATAGAATGTGTTCCATTCATGGCATTGCTGGTAATACGCTGTTGGAGGGGAGGGAATCTATATGAAACAGGAGGCAGAAAGGTGTTTGATGGCACTTACTGGGTGTATGTCCACAACAAGATGTTTTACACATACTTTGTATGCTTAGCTCATTCTGTTCTGATGTCAGATCCACATCAGAATATCCTCCCTGTGAATACACTGGGCTTTAGTGGGTCTAGAATGGTTAATCCCAAGTAGAGGGGGTCCCTGTATTTAGAATGCACATAGGAATACGTACATAATGATTCATAAGTGTGCTCTGGCAGCTTCATCTTCCTACGTAATCTCTGTTTGATTGAGTTAGCTGCACATCTTCAGAAACCCAGTTTGCATTAGAAACATAGCCTGTTAAGCTAATGCAACTTTCTACTGACTGCTTAACATTCCATTGACTTATCTTCATTAATATATATTGGCTTAAATACATTGTTCACTGTGCTATGTTTGACTTGGAAGCAAAAGCTGGTTTCTGTATTAAAACTCTTAGGCTGAGCAGTAGTTTCATTTTCATAGTCCAATTAAGTTGTTTTATGGCAATATTATTCTTCCTTATAGTTAACACAAGAAGAATGTAGGGGTACACTATACAAATATAGAACTGAAGAGCTGGATATTGATGTAAGTAATCTGTATTTCTTCTTCCTTGGAAATGTTGGTATTTATCTCTTTATTTTGATAATAATCTCCCCCTTGACTTTTGGGTTTGAAGTGCAGTTCATGTGGGTAATAGCCAACAGAAATTACGTTGTGAAACAGAGGGATGTAAAATTGTTTTTTCTAATAAGCATCTAACTGGCAGGAAGTATTACATTTTAGGCTGAAATTTCAAGTATTACATCTGTTCAAAGTTGAATTGCTTCTAGAAAAGAATTAATTATTTTAGAAGGGAAAAACTCTGTAGCTGTAGTTCGGTTACAAGCACGAGATGTGGTTCCTCAGGAGATCTGACTGGCACTCCAAAACTGATATTTGGCATGGGTAGTTACTGTTCAGAGTATTGGGTTGCTAGTTACTAAAGAAAACGGGCTAGGTGTCTACAGTCAGTTTTAAAATTGGTGGTGGAAAATACGCGTGTATAGTCATACTGTATATGCATGTCTGGTCATTCTTGCACAATGCAACTAAGAGTAGAGAGAGTGATTTAAGGGATGTTATTTTAAAAAAAGAAAGCAGGCTTCCGGTGTTATCTTAGAGTTAAAAAGTCAGGGCAGCACAAAAAGAACCAACAAAGTTGTTCAAATAGAAAAGCAAAGTGGTTCAAATTGGTTAAAGAGCACTGGATGGTTATTTGCTCCAACTGGAGCTGGAGTGGAACAGTTTCCGTCCTAGCCAAGCCTCGATCGGAGGCAAAACAGAGCAGAACACGGATACTGTTAGTAACTAACTATTAAATACCTGCAGTAAGCCATGGGAAAGACTGTGAATGTATGCAATATTCTTTATAATATGAGGAATATGTAAATTAAAATGGTACTTAATACCTATTATTAAGTTGGAAGGGATTAGCTGTAGAACTGTAAATTACATGTTTTGAGCCACACTGTTTCAAGTTATAATAACACTTACTTCATAGTATCTTAAGAAGGTTTCTTAAGGTTAATTTGAAAATATAACACTGATGCCTTCAGAGTTTTTACAATTCGTATTTTGTGGTAATAAAATTTTATATAGCTTCTTGTAATGATTTGATCAATTATAGTTGGATTGCTGAAGATGTTAAAAATGAAATTCTAATTGCAATCATTTTCTGTTATATACTAGGCTAAGCTTAGCCGTTTATGTGAACAAGATAAAGTTGTACAAGCACTGGAAGAGAAGCTTCAACAGCTACACAAGGAGAAAGTAGGACAATTGTATTTATTACCTAAAGTGGATGTTATTTTACATGCTTATTTTCAGAACATTGGTAACTGAAATAAAATGAAAATCAGCCTGATGATGCAGAACATTAAAAATAATTCTTTTTATTATAATAGTACACGCTTGAGCAAGCTTTGCTATCAGCAAGTCAGGAGATCGAAATGAATGCAGATAATCCCGCAGCCATACAAAACGTAGTCTTGCAGAGAGACGACTTGCAGAACGGACTACTTAGCACTTGTCGAGAAGTATCGCGAGCTACTGCAGTAAGTACTTCGCTCTTGCCAGTAAAACTCAGCGAAGTGTGAAACGATTATCTTCCTGTTCTTGATTGGGCTGTCTTTGGTTATTTTTCATTATGTTCCAGCAAAACTCTGTTCTCTTTTACTTGCTTGTATTTTCTGTCAAAGGCATCTGGAAAGTGGTCTTTTCACTATATTCGTCGAGTAATCTTTCTCTAATTGAGTTTGGGGTTTTTTGGCCAGGAATGAGCACATACTGACTTTAATTGGTGTGGTAATTTTCATTTTTATAACATGAAAAATTTATTGCAGAAGTAGTAAATAATGCAAATACGCTATTTTATGTGATGGCAAAATAGTAGTGAGCACAAACTTTATCAGGTATTCCGTCAGGTGCAGGATGAAAGGAAAAGATTATTCTTACATAGTCTTTCTCAGTAGTGGACCATTATATTTTAAAGATCTTACAAGTTATGCACTTCCCAAAGCCTTAATAAATAATTTTTTTTAAAAAGAGAAGGGAATTTCTATTTACTGTCTTTTTCCACTTAATGATGGCTTCTGTGCTGAAGTGAAAAGGGAAAGAATCCTTTTTGCCTACTTAGGTGTATATCCAAAAAGATATTTCAGTGGTTTGCTGTGGTGCAATTGATATGGAGTAGGCCCTGTAATACTGGTTTTAGTCTGAATGTTCAACTCCGTTGTAGAAGGGATTGGTTGGACAAGGAAGACGGAATTAGGGGAAAGCAAATCCTCAAGATACACTTTCCCTCATTAACTTTTTAAATTATGCTCAGTTGAGTAAAATGCCTGATGTAGGCTTAAAAAGTGAGATGATAGAGCTGACCTCAACGAAGACTTTCTTTCTGCACCTTCTCCCTTCTGGTGTTTGTAGTTTCACCTATGTAAAATAATGGTTTATTAGCAGGCCTGGGGCGCTCACTGGTAAACTTGCAGGCAGGGCTGGATGACTTACATTTGTCTTGCATAATTCATTGCGTATACACACACATGCTGTGCACTCACACATATGTATTCTGTGTGATAAAAGAGACAAATTTGCATCCATTTTTGTGGGTTTTCTGCCTCACTGGAAGGACAGCTTAAGACATGCCTGCTGACTATAAAGACACATTCTCTAGATTTTACCCTTCCCTATCTTTTTTGTTTGTGAAAAGACAAAATGCTGTTTGTTTGAATTCCATTCAGTATCATTAGAAAATCAAAAAGATGTTTAAACGTTGAATTCTCTAAAATACATATTCATTTATTGCTGATACCTATTTATGCGTTCCTGAACTTTCTTGCCACTGAATAAAGAAAATAAATATACTTACACATCTGTAATGCTTCACTTTGGTTACATACTTAGGAACTGGAAAGAGCTTGGAGAGAATATGATAAATTGGAGTATGATGTAACTGTAACAAGGAACCATATGCAGGAGCAACTCGATCGGCTGGGAGAAATTCAGGTGTGGCATGGGTCTTAAAGTACATTTAAGTGACTCTCGTGTTCTATGATGTTGTTTAAAAACTACACAAATGAAAAAAAAGGGGATGTGTGGCGCATTAACTTACAAGGTGTAGAAAGAAATTAAAAGTTAAAGATCTGAGGAAGTCTTCAGCTTTTCCTGCTTTATTGAAGCTACAGCATAGAGGTGGTAGCTGCCTCTGTTTCGGTGATGGTGTCCAAAACAGGGTAGTTTTCTTAGACGTTAATTGCTCTGGACAGTCATAGTACATCTTCACACAACTCCTTCTATTTAACTGAATATTTTAAAAAGTCATTAAATCATTCTATCAACATGAATTATAAGAAGTCATATTCTGAGCATTGCTTTGGGTCTTACATGCGAAGAGCGCTGGCGTGTATATCACGAGCTCGCTGTGCGGTGGAGGATGGGTCACTTGGTGTAAGTTCTGAATTCCTGAGGAGACCTCTCTGCGAGAGGCACGCACAGGGATGTGCTTGCGTCATCGGGAATGGGCCAGGTGGGTTTGGTCCGTGGTGGGAGGCATTAAAGGCTGTCTGCTTCAGGGATTGGTTTTATATGCAGCTATGAAAGGGAGATTCCAAGGAAGACCAAGAGCTGACAAATTTGTGTTACTCAGCCCAAAGTGTGCGTGGCTGTGCATGCAGATAGGCCCACCGTTTATATGCCAGTAGGAAAACACCCTGTTCATCTCCACCTATTTTGCGGTTGGAGCTGATCATTCCTTTTCTTTCGCTGCATGTAGGTCTCCTGTGCAAAGTTTGCTTGGATTTTCCTTGGAGACAGTAGATCCAATTGTATTCCTAAGTGGAGTTTCAACTAGCAAATTGCCAACAAATTAACTGGTGCATTATGAAATTGCTTAATCTTACGCTTTTTGTTTCTGGCAACATTTGAATATTCCGTTTTGTGGAAAAGGAGAGTGTCTGTCGTTACTGCATTTTATTTTCCTTCTTTGGGAAAGGATATGCAGTGTAGTCTAAAGAAAGAAAAACTTCCTGTTTCTTCCTGCTCACAATGTATTCTAATTTATCACTTATATATGCTGTTTATTTACCGGCAGACTGAGTCAGCAGGGATACAGCGTGCTCAGATTCAGAAGGAACTGTGGAGAATTCAAGATGTCATGGAGGGTTTAAGTAAACATAAACAGCAGAGAAGCTCTTCAGAAGCAGGTAAACTGATTTCTTTTATCTCGGAGGAAGTGGGATTGGATCATGCACGTTTTTAAGCTTCATAATTGCTTTTGCATGTTTGAAGAAATGGTACAGTTGCTGAGAAAACAAGGCAGCAGTCATCTATTTTAAGTTGATGCTTTGTGTATTTGATAGTGACAGGTGATCGTTCATATTTTAAAATTTTTTTCTTTTTCTTTCTCTGCTTTTCCCCCTCCCCCGAAACAGGCATCATGGGATCAAGGACATTTTCAGCTATTAAATATAAAAATGAGGTATGGTTTTAATATATTCACTGTTTTAGCATCACTGAGTTTCTAATCTACCTATGATCTAAAAATGGGCATTATTAAAAATGTTTTAAGGATGTCTGAAGTAAGTATTTAGTATGTTTCTGTGAAAATACAGCATTATGATTTAGTTGTAAAGACTGATATCTCTGCTAGTAATTCTAACACTTTCATTTGCTCTGTGTCTTTATATTCTCACCAGTATGTTTCTCTTCTCCATTTCTCCCATTTTCCTCTCCCTAGGCTCTTACCCTAGAAATGTAAACCCTGATTTATGGATTTGTTTTCCTACCCGCCACACTTTTCATGGGATGAAATACATTGCGTTCTATGTCTGTTCACGTATTGAGCCTGGTTCTCAGATGGCCAGAGCACCCACGAGAACAGCTGAAAGAAACTGTGGGAGCTCCCAAATGTTCAGTTCCTCTGAAAATCTGGCTAGAAGTTACAGTTTTAAAGGGACATTGTCGTGGTTGTCTCCAAGTTTATGCAATATGCATCTGGCTTACAGATCTTTCAAAAAGTCTAATTTATATACAAATCTTCAAAAAGATAGCAAATATAATTTTTAAAAGGATGATTCAGAGGGTTCATACATCTCCAATAGAAAGTGCAGGTGTTAGAATTGAAAATTTTTATAAGCTGAATAATGAAACTATGGATGTATCTCAGTCTAGGTGGTAGTAATAAAAAGTGAACAAGGGAACAACAGAAAAAAGAAGAAAGTTAAAGAAAATAAAGCTCTCGGCCTTTTTTTGGTTTTGTTTTCCTATTCTGACATTGTCCCTTTAATTCCAAAATCTACAGCTGGTGTAGCTATGGTAATGTATTTTTCTTTTTAAGTTGTAAATAATTGTAACAGGTGTGCACATCTAAACAAGGTGACTATTCTACAATCTTTAGGAAGAGGAAGTAGTCCCACCTCGTCCTCCACTCCCTCGGTCCTATGACTTTACAGAGCATCTTCCCATAATCCCCCCTCTGCCCAGTGATAGCAGCTCCTTGCTCTGTTATAGCAGGGGCCCAGTACATCTGCCAGAAGAAAAGAAGATTCACCAAGTTCAAGGATATCAGAGAAATGGATCTTACTGTGTAAGTGGCTTCAACTGCCACATTGTTCGTGAAGCATCCCCGTTCCTTTGCACAGTCACAATTTTTATTTTGTCATCTGGCTACTTTTGTGTTATGTTCTTACTTTTGGCTGCTTATTTTTCTTCATAGCTCCATCATTTGCTCTTCACCTTTTGCTGTCATATATTCTGTACATATGTAAAATGTCTTAAGACTTAAATGCCTGTATCTGAGTAAATTTCAGAAAAATTAAGTTCTTTACTCACAAGTTCTTAAAAAAAACTAGGCTCAGAACAGGTTTTGCTGAAACCTTATACAAATTGGTTTCTTGAAGATCACTTAAAAGGAAAAAAAAAAATGTGCTTTTTTATGTCAGTTTTTTCCTGTAATTTCGAATTTGCAAATGATGTTCCTCAGATTAACTACGAAGAAATACTGCTGTGATAGCACGTGAACAATGAAACGTTGTCTTAAAGCGGGAGCAGAATCGTCACAAAATTACTGCTTTGAGTCTTAAGTCATAAATGCTTGTACAGAAATGCCAGTTTATTCACCTCCTAACCTGTCGTTCCTCAGGGTCCTGACTATAGGCTTTATAAGAGCGAACCGGAGTTAACTACAGTAGCAGAAGTGGATGAGTCTAATGGTGAAGAAAAAATGGAGCAAACTTCAGAATCGGAATCTACAGCTAAAGGTTTGTCCCCAAACGTGGTGATTACAACCTTGCAGCCTTTCTCACGAGGAATACAAAGCTTTAACTCTGTTCCAGAAGTTACATCATCCTTCGTATTTTTGTAGCCTGTCCATTTCTTAATATGATGAAACAGCTTCCACGATAAAATAATGATTGAATTTTACGATGAGAGAGATTTCAGTCAATTACACTGCAGAAAAATCAAACATTACACTCACCAACAACCCTGAAATCCTTATTGACACCATGTCTAATCACATCACTCACATTCCCCACACACCATTCCCTTGAACAATTACCCATTTTATGTTCTTGCCCTTGAACAATTATTCAGTTTTCGAATCAAGCTCCCGATATTATGTCACTGGAACGGCCAAAAAGGCAGCACCACAGAATTTTCAGGCTCTCATAAGGCAGGGAAACAATGTCTTTTTCTTTTTTTAATCTTGTAATTGTTGAATTGCCTTCTGTCCTCTGATATAATAGGAATAATGATCATGACCTTGGAGCCTACAGACAATAAAGGTCCTTGCAATTGCTAAATGCTTTAGATTCTTCTCTTCATCTAGCTTCCATAAAAGCTACTAATTGCTTGGTAGAGTCTTTTACCAGGAAGTGCTACTCAGTTCTGTTTGTTAAAACACACAGAATAGTTTGTTAAAGGTGACTTGAGGAAAAGTAGTTTGAGCACCTCCCAGAAACCGTATTAAGAGCTTTTAGAAAAAGTAACTAAACTTACCCATTTCTTTTTGCCGAAACGGTTGATGTTTCCAGTGCTGGCAAGATTCCTACCTTCTCTTGGCTAAGCACATTCATGGTAGGCTGGTGCAACAGTACCAGAATTTCTCCAAGAACTAGAATCATACTGTTTTCATCAGAACAGTAATGGAGGTTTTTAAAACTAAGGTTACCACACAGCGTGGGTGGAAAAAATGCGAGTGGCCCTATGATATATTTAAGCTTGCACTTACCAGACAGGCAGTCAGTTCTGATTCACTCTGGTATTTGCTGAGGCATAACGTTCACTTAAGATAGATATTAAATCTCTTTTAACTTGGTGGTGTAAAGTGTAAGGTTTAGCCTGAGATTTGCTAATCATCAGCCACCTAAAGTGAGGGAGTTGCTTGACAACATATCTAGGTTTTATTGACCTGTGGTGTTCCCGATTGTTATTAGTGATTTGTGAACAGAGGGTAACTAATTGCCAAGACAATATACAAAAGCCTGCACTGATCACATAAAGCAAACCAGTACTTTCTGAGCACCCCAATCTGCTTTTTATCTTCTGTAAAGATGGAAGTAATTTCATTACGTCCATTTGTAGACAAGCAGTCCTCAGTGAGGGAAAGCACTAATACATGTTCTTCTAATACAAATAATACGTGGGGTTGTGGGAGAGAATAGCGGCAGTGGTACCAAGCAGCAAGAGGCTTTTTATCTTCTTAAACCCACTTCACACTGTTGTTTATCATAGCTGTGTTTTATCATCTGGTCCACGCTTTTGAGCATGTGAATTTTCTAACCGATATTTCTTGTTCTGTGTGTTCGCTTGTAATAACAATCCTCATGCAGTAGGAAAAATATAACCACTCCTGGGTTTTTTTATGGTGTCTATGCCTTTACGACTCTGTGCTGTTTCAACAAACATTTTTATGCCATTCTAACAGTTTATAAGCTGAAAAGGAAACAACCTCAGAGGCAGCTCACCTCTGCAAGTTTTCTTTCTTGCTATTTTAAGAATTCATTCTTAAATGGTGTGGTTTCCTATTGAGGGTGGTTCTAAAACCTAGTATATTTCGGAGGAAATTTTAAAAAATGTTTTTCCATTCATTGTGCTTGTTACTGTACCAGACACTTTGCATGTTTCTTCTGTCAGCAGTTTCCCTCTCTTTTCAAATGTCAACAAAGAGAAACGTTTTAATGGGGCTGTGTAAAATAACCCTTACAGCTGTCTGCAAGCAAAGGAATATTTATGACCTGAGTGGTACATAAAGGTGACACAAAAGGAAAATGGGCTGCTGCTGTGTTTTATCCTTCTTACATCTAAAGGGGACCCAAACTGTTGCTTTATAGTTTTTGTTTTGAATGATGGATTTGGCATTCAAATACCTCCAGACTATTTTGTCAGCCTATCCAAAAATTTGGGGAAAGAAAAGTCAATATATCTTCTGAAATCTGTGCAACTTTGGGAAAAACAAGGAGAAGTAATTTGGCTATCAGAGAAGACATTGGGTCTATTTGTAGGCAAAGTCAGTGGGGAAGCAATATTTTTAATAGTTTGATTTCCTGCACGTATTGAGAAGCAAAAATGAAGTATGTGTCATTTAATAATAATATCTGAATGTTTTGTTAAGTTTTAACTTCAGTTTTCTACCAGCTTAATTACATTTTGACAGGGCTTCTCTAAGTAGAAAAACTACTGGTGGATATTGTTACAAGAGGCTGAATGTAGTGAACCTCAGGACACAGAATATCCTCAGCTCCCGAGCAGGCAGAGCTTGGCTGCCATGGTTCCCTGTCCCTAAGTACAGCGAGCTGCCAGGCTGAGGACATATCCCGCTGGGCACAAGCGCAGGCGCAGCCAACCGCAACCGATAACGCCGGCAGGTTTGAGACCAGGGCGGTTGCGGGCCCCCCGTAAACGAGACCAGCACTCACATGAAGGTGAAACAGCACAAATAGCAGCGTGATCCTGTTCTCACTCGCCAGGTGACCAGCCTCAGTCAGAGCTTGCTAGCCAGTCTCATACAGACATGGGCACACGTGTGTGCACACATGCAAATGAGTCTCTCCAAGAGCTGACCAGACCTGTGGTATCTCCGTCACTCATCTCACGGTACCTTTGGACTCTCCAGTGTCTGTATCCTAGAACTAAGGTCTCTTGGACAGCTTGCTCCTACACCTTGCGTTCTGCTTGCCATCTAGTCTTGTCTCAAGTTCCTTAGCATCTTGCAGACAAAAGGTTCCCCTGGTTGCAAATAAACCACCCGCCCATAATTATTTTCGGTTCATTGGTCCCACTTTTGCTAAATTTTGTATCTTTGACACCATTATCTAGGTAAGCTTGGCCTGCAGTGGGAGCAGTGATATGGTCACCTCAGCACGCTGTGGCCTTGTAAACTCTGTTCCACCAAAGATCTCAGTACGGGTGTCCGATTGTCCATGGAGTTTGACCATCTTTCATATAATTCCCCCTTAACCATCGGTGAAATCTAGCCATTCCACACAGGGATATCTAACTTGTGGCCGTTTCTCACAGGCAAAATATTTATATTTTACATCCAGCAATTTCTCATGACGTGTGCAGTAGTTTCCCTTAGGGAAGGGAAGTCATCTGCCTGTGTACTTTAACAGATGTGATAGTTAGGCGTAAGATCTTTGCTGTCTGTTGAAGAACAGTTTCCAAGGCTGAAAACGTTTCTTCTAGAAAACAATGAACTGTTTTGGCAATGTTTTGCCTAGCGCTTAGTATATTGCTTTACTGTTTTGTAGGCTCACATTTTCCTGTGGGAGTTGTACCACCCAGAACCAAATCACCAACGCCAGAGTCTTCAACAATAGCATCCTATGTCACTTTGAGGAAGAACAAGAAGATAGATCTAAGAACGGTACTTTAAAATAACCTTTGAGCGTTGACGGATGGCGATGTGTTCATTTCTAAGTTAAATTTCTGTAGTTACTTCAAAAGTTGTAGTTACCTTTTTAATTTTCTTTACCCCCAAAAAAAAAAATCACTGCTATAAAAATATACTAACTTAACAGAGACAGCTGTAGAAAGATTAACAATATTATAAAGGCCATTGTGTTTGTTAAAATATGCAAGAAATAAACAGTCATGATATGTCTGCTAAGCTACTGAATTTCAGGCTTGAGGTGGAAGGGCATGAAGCATCTTGGGTTAAAACTTTGAAGGACCTGCATTTGGCTTCTGGGACAATTTAAGAGCCCTCGTATAACAAATACTGGCTTTTATTTATTTCATTACTGAAATGATTTTGGAAATACCTAAAGCAGCCAGAAAATAAAAATACGGTAAGCCATATGTGGGTAATAAGCCTGGAAATTCAGGTTAGAGTCCTGTAGTCTCTGGGTTGAAGAGAGATGTTCACATGTAATTCATGCAAAAGGGAGGAAAACTTGTGCCGTGCTTACAGCATGAATAGAAGAGAAGATGATGCAGGAAGAATGGGAGAGGAGAGAGAAAGGCACAGGATGTTGACTGGGAAAAGAGTACCACTTTTCAGAAGTGAAATCACTTACTGTGAAGGTACTGAATGCTGCTGATTAGCCCAAAGTAGATACAAAGTACAGATCTATCTGAAAATCTGAATTCCAAGAACAGAGTGGGTAAAGTGATGGTTGTTATCTTGGGAATAATATAATGCTTACAGTTACAGATTTTTAACTGGTGATAAATTCCTTTTGTTTCAGCCTGCACTTGCCATTAAATGATGTCCAGCTTAGGTTTTTCTTGAAATAAAAAGGCAGAAATCACCATTAGATCAAGTGGTATAAATGTCCTGGATGGTTAAATTTCAGTTATGTTTCTGTCTCAGTCAGGTAGCTGTTTGTCCGTTGCTTAAAGTCTGGTGCACTGTTGATAGGATGACTTTAAGAGAGCATCTACCCATTCTCTTAATGTGTATTGTTGATGGTGGTAATGTCAGTGTTCAAAACAGCCACATTATTCTTTCCCTTTATTTTGTATTTCAGTGTTCCTCTTTTAATAATTGATTCTTGCACTTTTGTCACATCTTTACTTGTCCGTTGTTTTTCTGCTTTTTAGTAAGTCGTTAGGTGATCTTTTCTAGAAAGCTGAAGAGTTGAGAGTCTTGCTTTTTTAAAAAACAAACATATATATATATATTCTTTCATTTAAGGAAAGACCAAGAAGTGCAGTGGAGCAGCTGTGTCTTGCAGAAAGCACACGGCCTCGAATGACTGTGGAGGAACAGATGGAAAGAATAAAGAGACACCAACAAGCTTGCCTGCGAGAGAAGAGGAAAGGACTCAATATTATTGGCGTTTCAGAGCAGTCTCCTTCACAGGGTCTGTCCTTTGTCAGAGATAATCCATTCAAATTGGCACAGGTGAGTCCCGTGTTATCCCAAAACTTTAATGTGTCCAGTTAAAAACAAAAAATACTGGGTTTTTTCCAAAATCAGATGATGCTGTAGGTGTCAGTGACACTGCTCGTATGGACCAACAGCCACAGTTCTCTGCCGTGCAGAGGAGAAAGGGGGAAGACAATCCATGCTTATACCTAATGATAGAAGGAGTCACTTCTTTGGGTTTTTTGAAAAATTAATAGTTCAAACCTACACAGGTTTGATTGTGCTTTATGATGTTTGTTAACAGGTTTTTTCTGTCAACTGCAGCATACAACACACAATTGCAAGCTTGGTGGCTATAAGCAGTGTTGGGGAGAGTCATGGTTCAGTCACTGCATAAATTATGAAGATTTCTTTGCCACGTAATATATTCAAACATCTCTAATGTTTTTAGGTAGGAATGTATATTTATGATGATAGCTCTTAACTGGTGCTCTTTTACTGTGGTTTTTGAGCTCGTAAGTACATAAAAATAGAGCCCTCACTTTTGATTTCCCTCATTCTTGAACAGTTAAGGCAGAGAAGTGAGTTTATTAAATGGTTACGGGTGGTGAGAGAGGAGGAAGATGTAACTGCTTGTTACTAACCACGAAACACTCTGCTGGATATACATTAAAACAAAAAAAAAGACAGACCCAAAACCCAACTAACAAACAAAAAACCGCACACCACTTCAGGACAAAAATACCAGACGGATTCAGGGGAGTGGATGTTAGACAGCCTACTATTTTCTAACTGCTAAGAATTCAGGGGTTTTTTTCAATAGTTTAATGGAGTTACCATTTTCTTTTTTTTGTTGTTTGTTGGTTTTTTTAAAATCTCCTGGCATACTTTTTTCCTCAGACCACTGCTTTTGATTTTTGTTAGTTTGGTTTTTACACTGACATGGAAATGCCTTCTTTCATGTCTTGTGCACGTTTTAACATCTGATTTTCCAAAACTAGACTACATGCATTGCACTGTTAAGAAGTCACATATTTCCAAATAAGTTTTAGATCTCATTTTTCCCCTCTGAGCATGCTAAACTGCCTTCAGAGCTATAAAAAAGTCTTCCCCAGAAGACGCTGGTTAAGTTTTGCCTTTGCATTACATCGCCTGTGTTTGGGATGACTTCATGAATGCTGTATACGAAGGGGGCTCCTGCGAATATTTTTGTGGTTAACGCTGCCTTTTTCAGGAGGATGTGCAAAGCAAAGTTTTGCAGATGTTTTTGTAGTTCTGACAGAGGTGTTTGAGCCTTACTACTTGGCTCTGGTGTCATTTCATATCTCAAGGTGAGGAATCAGCAGTCACGTATGTGTCCTGCCTGGTCAGCCGGCACCTCGGGAGCAGAATGGGGAAGTGGCCAAATCCTCTGTGCCAGCACTGCTTGCTGCTCAGAACTCAAAAGAATTTTGTTCATGTCAGCATGTTCTTCAGCCCTCTGTGTGAAATCAGCGTTACGTGGATGAGGGAAGGAATTTATAGAGTAAATGAGAACGTGAATTGACTATTGAGCTAGTAGTCCGTGCTGCAAAATCACTTTTTCTGTCAAAACTTTAATTCTTCCAGAATGGTATTTGGCAAAAAGCCCCACGATGAGGTATTACGCTGTAGTAATAGCTCTTATTTTTAAAAGCATTGTTTCTGTGCCTATTGATTTTTACATGGAAAAATGGTGCAATGACATTAACTGCTGCCAGTCTCTTCAGCTGCGGTTTGGTTATTTAAGAATTGGAGGAAAAAAAGAATTTTATAAACAGCCCACTGCATAATTTTTAGGTGATTACTTAAATACAAAAGGAAGTTGCTTCACAATTGTTATTGTCTGGGACAAGTGTATGATACAGGTGGCATCGTTTAGTTAGGAAAGTAAAGCGATTGATTTGTCAACTGACTTACATGGAATTTCCTCTTAGCAAAGCACGTGTGCTAAATCACAGGAGTTCAGACACAAGATTTAGTACTTTCATGGCCTTACTTTTCTCAGCCCTACTACATAGTTTGATAAGACTTATCTGAACCTCGCTTCAGTTGGGTTTGCTGCTCTGCCAGCATAATGTTTGCAGGTCACAATCTTAAGTCTCCTCCACCATCGTTCCTCAGAATTTTTATATCAAATTATTCTCTGTACAATGATTGGTGGGTTTTTTTGTTGGGTTTTTTTTTAAGGAGTAAGACATACCCTCTGCCATTATCGAATGATATGTTGTCCTCTGTTAAATCAGTTAACAGCATAGTCTGGGAAAATACCCAAGGTAACTGTGGATTTTGTACTGAGAGCAGATTTTTATACTTTTTTTTTTTTAACCAGGAAAATCAATTCTTAAAAAAATTAGTGCTTATGAACACAAGTAGGAACGCTAGTAAGCCTGTGCGTGACTGAGCTAAATATGAATGAAGCTTGAAAAGATAAGTGATTAACAGAAATGCTGGAGAATTGGGGTGGGAGGCAGCACAGAAAGTACAATAATCTTGCAGAGAAAAAAAAATTAAGACAGGCTGAACTGTTTTGAAAAATACAAAAACGAGAAAATTCCCAGTCCTTAACAATTTCCATTTTCCTTGTTGCAATGTGGTATACTTCAGAGGTTTTAAGTATCTTTTTATCACAGTCGGAGGACAGCGCAAGTCTCAGAACTGAGACTGTGATAACTTCGGTAACAGTACGTCTATATATCACTTTTGTCCCACAGAATCGAAAAAAGGATGATACTGTATCTAGTAACATGAAGGAATTGGAGACCACCAGTAAAGAAAATAATTTGGAACAAAACAATGGAAGTCCTGGAGAAGAAACAGCACAACTAAAATATGATGGAGAACAAGAACGTAATTCTGGTTTTACTAAAGAGGTACTAAACCATCCCTTATTGAACGTTTCATCAACCTGTCTTGCAGTAGAAAAATATTTGTGCCACAGACAGCAAAGTATGGGAAAATGAGACAGTTCCTTTTGCTTGGAAGATCAAGTTATCTTTTTGGATCTAACGAATATCCTGTAGAGAAGCACAACATTTTCTTAGATCTGTCTATAGCTGAGAGATTGAATTTTCTTTTGAATGGTCTTCCTAATTTCCATTTTACTTAACTTTTATTTGTTGCTATCTTGACTTATTGGAAAATTACAAAATTATTATGTTCTTTACTTCTTTGGAAACAAAACCAATACTAAGGCATCTTTAAATAATAATCATTGATCTGTTCGTTGCTTAGGATATCCCAGCGTAGCCTTTGACAGTTACTTAATACACTGACTCTTCTGTTAGGTTGGCTGTAGTACATCAGATAGTTTATAGGAAGCAGAATAAAGCTGGCACAACAATTTACAGATGGAAGTCAGCAGTAACTGTAGTTTGTGCTCTTTGGTCACTGGATTGATTTCTGCCCTGGAATAGTCTCAGACTTGCTTGACAGTGAGTTACCTCACTGTTTCTGGTACTGATGTGCCCTGAGCACTCAGCAATAACAGACTGACTGTGAAGAAGAGATTGCTGGAATTGTTTCTACATAATCATAACCTGCTTATGCGTTTTGGGTTTTTTTTTTTAATCTTATTTAGAGTTTTTTCCTTTTCTACCCATGTTCTTTAGCCATCCTTTGCTTTTCCTTTTCCTCACTCATTTTTTCTTTAGTTTTCCTAGTTTATACTTAGGTTTTTTAAACATTTGTCTGACGAAGAATGGTATAAAATCAAATAATGAGCATCTGTTATTATGCTTTTTATTGACAGTCTGTTGCTTTGTTAAGCATGCAAATCTTTTAAAGGAAAATGATGTAATACACTTTGGTTGTATCTAATCAGATCTTTAAGAGCAGTGTTCAGGCTTATCGACAGTGTATTCCAGTAGGTGGAATCTCTGTTGGCGTTGTGAAGAGAGGGATAGCATGAAAAAATGGGCAGGCTGCAATCCAAAGAGTTCAGATGAGTTCTGGAAGTTACTAAGCTGAGCCCTGCCCATTGGCTCTGGTATAAGTTTCAGGATAACTCTATTAACCTGAATGGTATTGATAAAAATTTCTTAAGTTACGTAATTCTGAGTTACTAAGTATACATGATGGCAAAATTTGTCTGTTAATAAAACTGTTTCCTGATACTGTATTTCTTACCTGCCACTTAGTTTGCGCTACAGCTTTTTGTTTCATGATTTCAAATTTTTTTTTATAGCTGACAAAAACTGATGCTCTTTTATCAGATGCACATGTTGTATCTGACTCAAAAGAATTGAGTAATGAAGAGAGAGCAGAAAAGGAAAAGAGAAATAAATTGGAAGAAACACATGATGGTGACATAAGGTAAAAATAAACCAAGATGTTCGGAGGCTATTTTAAACTTGCACGTTGTATTTATTAGCTGAACGGACCAAGCAACTAATGCAATACTGTTGTAAGGTATATTTATAGGTTTTGAGTGGTTTTACATACAGAGAGGTCGAGTGAGAAACCGAACCGTTGCAGGGGTTCGGTAAGAGGTGATGAGTTGGTGGGTGAAGCAATGTTTATTTTCAGGTATTGCCCCCGTTACAAACAGGATACATTCATAATCCTTGCTTTGGGATGCAAAACATATTCAGTGACGTCAGTTCAAGCTTTGTGTGAGTTTCTATGAAACCTTCAGCTGGGGCTTCCACAGCAAGCTCTTTACCGCTGCTGATACCTAGCAGCAGGCTAAACAGCTCGTTCCGTAGCTCCTGCTTTAACTTTTACTTTGCTATTGTGGAGCTTTCCAGAATTAGAGGAATACTGTGTCTTGGATATTCCTCTTTAAGGATTCGTAACTTTAGTGCAAGTTGTACTGCAGAACCTAAGTCAGTTCTTACATTAGGTCATAACTTTCTCGCAGCACCCTTCAGCCTAATCGATACCATGCAGCAGGAAACTGAACCAGTATGTTGAGGAAAGGAATTTAGTTTCCAGTACTTCTTGCTTTTTTAAGTCTAACTTTACAAGGTAGAATTGTTTCACAATACGTGCTTAATTTATTTTACACAAACTTGCAAGTTGCAGCTTCTTTGCTATTAATAGAAGGCAATTAAATTGTAACTCCTATACGTAGTGGTTTAACACCTGAAGTGAAGTTACGAGTTCTAAGCGCTCTGCTTTTTTAACCAGCTTGAGGAGTGTGACCACGGTTACAAACCACAAATCCAAAACCAGCTCAGAAGAAAGTGAAGTAGTTAGTGTTCAAGAGCAAGAAGGGATTATGTCTTCGTTTGAATTAGCACAGTCTTCAAAAGGAACTCAGGCAACAGCAGGTATGGAAAAGAGTTTGACTGAAGCACAGCTTATACAGTACGTATGTAAAACTTGCATTGTCATTTTGTCTTTTGATGCTCTGAAACCCTGGTGAATTGAAAGTGCTGAGCTAGTCTAGAGGTGAAGTGTGTGGTTGAATAACGTAGAGAAAAATAACTTTCCAGTGAACAACTATAGAAATCACATTTTTTCTGAGGTTTTAATGTAGATTTTATGGTTATATTTAGTTTGGTTAATTAAGTAACTATTGCCAGAAATGGAGTCATACTGTAGCTGTTGGTTGGAACAAATCCTTTCCTATTCACCCCAGAGAACAGCATATCAATCCTGTATATGTGTAGAACATTTACCTCCCAATTGCTAGTGGGTGGCCTCTGGTATGCCTAAGATTGAGGAATCCTTGGGTTTCCAATATTCCTTGTAGATTTTGAACTAGCAGGTAGAAGACCCCAGTTTGGGTCATGCTTTCAGGAGTAGAAAAGATGAAGAAACAGAAAACACTAGCTGACTGGTAAAATGACAGGTGGTGTGCTACTTTGTAAGAAGAAAAAGCAGCAATAAAGGAAAATTGTCTGCAAAGAGAGAAAAGGGAAAAAGTTGTAGGGGAGGAGGAGGGAAGAAAATACAATGTAAGACATTATTAGGGTATTTGGTGATGGGAAGGGTTAAGTAAGCCAAGTGGTTCAATTTATGGATATAAAAGGTGACCTGGACCTTTGTAGTACAGTCAGCAATCCTGTCTGTGACTTCATAATCGAAACCAGAACTCGTAAATACTGAGCATTTTCCAGTGCTCAGCAGAATAAAAATGCTTAGTCAAACTGCGCTGGGATATAAAGGTGGGGCTGGGAGTATCCCAACTGGTTAAATTTCACTTTTCTTTCCCCCCTCCCCCCTTCTCTTTTTGCAACATAGATAACACGCCAGCATTCGCGTGTCCGCTGTTTGTTCCATGGGTGTGTTACTCGTCGTTTATAGGCCTGAGCAATGATCTTGTGTGAGAACAGCTGTGCTCCCCCCCTGAAGTTGTGCTTATTTGTGCTGATCAGACTTTAAGTCTTCACTTGTGCAGCTTTCGTTTGGTTCTGCTTATATTTATTATGTCTTGAAATGGTAATTTTCAAGCTTGTGTTTATTATGGCTTGAAATCGTGCCTTCTGTAACTTGTATTCTTACTTATCTTGCTGTATGACTCGCAGTGAAAAGCTTGCCTTCTTCACCAGAATCGTCCCTGTCACCAGCTCCATCTACACAGACACAGCTCACAGAAGGATCACATTTCATGTGTGTATAGTTACAGAGAAGTACGTCTCTTTTTCCCCCCACCCTCCTGCCATTTTCCTAATATTTTTCTAGGTATATGTATTCTAGGTATTTTTCTGAGAAACATCTGTAGACGGTACGTGGGGAGACAGTTACCTGCAGTGCTGAATACAAACTAACCAGAACACAAAACAAATAGGTGGATTGATTTGCTTGCAAGTAATGTCTTCTCTGTCCAAGTACAAAGAGAAAGGAGTAATTAGCTTATCAAGCACATTCTCCACAGCTGGCAAGATAATGGCCCTTTGAATGCCGTGAGAGACCTAAGCTGTTACAGAGCAGGTGCCCGGTTAAGGTAGGAGCGTCAGCGCTCAAGTGCAAATGAATCTTGATGCTTGGGTCCTGATAATAGGCAACCAGAGCTAGATCTCTTAGTGATGCAGACTTCGTGGCTTAAGATGTAGATGACTGAGGCATGACAAACAGCAAGGGAAAAAATGGGGGTGGAAGAAATATAAAAGTTACAGAACTTTTTTTTTCCTCTTTCTATAGAGACAGCCACACACAGCTTCCCTTCCCTTGTCCTGGTAGGTGATTTCTGCTAGGAATCGAGTTAGAAAGCATGAGTTAGGCTAGATTTACATATTCCTACCTGTAGTGTTACCTAGGTAATGAATGGGAATGGAAATACACGGATGCCTATTTGTTTATACAAGTGTTTAAAGAAATTAATAGGATAACAATGGGAATGCTTCAGCACTTTACCAGCATTTAAATCAATCCATCTTTGTGGTCAGGAAGTACCTGTTTAAATTAGCTTTCTGCTAAAAGAATGAGCTTTCTCTCAATGGCAATGTTAGATGCCATAGCTGATGTAACTTAAGAAAATTTTTAAATCAAGGAAGATTTAAAATCAGATGTCTTCAGTCATTTATCATGAGGAGATATGAATGTTTTTTTCATTTACTGTCCCAATCTCCATTTACAACCTTTCATCTTAGCAAAATTAGACTTATTATTCATCACAGACAGCTTTCTTGTATGAACTATGGGAAGGAAACTATTTATTTAAAAAAAAAAAAAAGTTAATAGTTCTCATCTTTCTCTCCTTTGGAGAGAGTGGAAAATGCACTCTTCACATTCAGTACTGACCCCTGTGTTGCTGGATTCCTGACGGATGTGGTCTGTCATGATTCGATTTAGCTTGGACTTTTGTACTTGCATTCAAAAGTTTTGTTACAGAACCATTTTGAAAAGATAAAGAGGGACACTTTGGTGTTTCTGGAAATACTGGTTCGTGCAGTGCTTTTCAGTTTCACTGTATCAATACACATGCATTTCGTGTGCATCTTTTTAGATAGGACAGACATTACCCCATCACCTGAGTTTCAGGTCAGTGGTGAAACTGAAACCGCAGAGCTGAGTTCTGTCCGTGGCCACAAGCACACCTGCCTGGAAAGGGGAAGCATCCTACAACTTCACCAGAAATGTGTTCCCATTTGCATTAAGCTGCTTTTAGCTTTTGTCATTAGCTCCAGTGACCAGATCAGCAAATTCCTTTTGGTTTTGTAAGGATTTATGCTGAGACTAGCAAAAGAGGTCGGCTTTGTAACCTGACGCCCCACACCTTGACACCCCACGGCGTGGTGTGTCCTCGTAGGTGATGCTGTAGCCAGGGTTGGGTACGATTCTCATAATAGGCCTTAATTACTTATGAAAAAACGGTGCATTTGGGGTGGCAGGTGTAGAGCTAACGCTCTGCCTACGCTGCCGCGCTCTAACAAAGTGAGGATTCCAGAATTCAGAACGCATCCGTTCTGCCTGCTCAGCATGTGAACTGCGCTGGGAAAAGCATTCCGCTACGTGCGTGTGCATTCCCATCGCCGCGGCGCTCCGTGCCTCGGTCGGCTGTTTCCTAGCAGCTCCCAAACAAATCCGTGCCCTGAGCTGTCCCAGTGTGCGCAGGAGACGTACGAAGCGTGGGCCGCTTGCAGGCCGTGTCGACTGCCCTTCCCTTCTGGGGCTGCCGTTGCGGCGTTCCAGCGCTTGGCTGAAAGATAGCTCTTTTAACGTGCCAGCGTCCCTCGGACGCAAGAAATCCGATGCGGCCGAGGGAACTTCAGAGCTGTGGGATCGTCAGCCCTCTGTGTTCCTGTACAACCGCATTTTTCAGGCAGCATCTGGAAAATGTATGGTCGATTTCAGAGAACAATGAGGTAATACCTATATTTGGCTTTTACGGTCAATTAGTAAAATGAGACTCTTGGCACCATGCCAGGGGAATTTGGCATCGGAAATTGGTGGCACAGGATATTGTGGGACTAAGGAAAAACCCATTAAGACAAAGCGACTTTTTTTGTCGGGGCTCTCGCTTTGCCCAGACGTACCTGGATGTGTACCGCTGTTGGTCGGTTTTCAGCATTACATTTACGCTGAGTCGTGGAGGGATAATGAAACTTTTTACAGCACCTGGATTCAAAGCTCAGAGGCATTCTTGCTAATGAACTGCTAAAAGCTATTTATAGCTTCAGCAATTACCAAAGTACAGCAAGCTCTGGGTGGAGCGCTCGAAGTTAGCACACCTTACAGCTGCACTGCCGTTCCGGCGTAGCGACTGCGTCACGCTGTGGCCCCCTTCAAACGCAGCCTGTCGCCTGTAAGAGCAGTTAGGGACTTGGCAATGAATTTGTATGGTTTCCTGTCATATACAGTAAGTTTTTACCTGAAGAACTTCTGGAGGTGGCCATGTACAACAGGATAAAACTCTCCGAATAAGCAGGCTTTCATACAAAGTTCAGAGAATTTGGATAAAGCTTTGCTTTTGCATCTTGCTGTCAGAGTATCCTGACAGCAGTATTTTCTCATCAGGAAAATTGATTTTAGAAACAACTGATTTGTGAGACACTTTATTATGTTCTACATCATTGATAGCTACTGCTAGGGTGAGGTCAGAAATTTCTTGCTGTGTTTAATCCCAGGAGTTGCTTTATACAATATTCTGTTGTTGCTAAAATAGAGTAACTTAATCTCTGTCTGTCTTTCAGCACTAATGGCTTCTGTTGAAACAATTCATGCCTGAGATGTATGGACCTGACCTATGAAAATATGAGAAGATATTGTACAGTATATTTTAAATCTATGAAATTCATAGTTCTGATGCTTTTGGCCACAGAGCATCATTTTATCACTTCCTGGAAAATGTGTATTCCAAGAGAGCTTTAAACGGCCCACGTGTACACTCAACAGCCTTCAGATTGTTCTCCTGATACCAGCTTGCTGCTATGATTTCTGTGCACATCAACTAAAGGCTCTTTTTAATGTGCAGCCTACAGGCAGAATTTGATTTGATATCCTCCAGAATTTAATGTTCTTTTAATTTTGGATCATATAAGCTTACTTTTTCTGCTTCTTTTAGGTGCGTAACTCGGTTAATTTTACATATCACCACTAAAACCACATTTTACACTTTTTAAACATTAAGATTTGCTGTTTTAACAGTTTATTTGTAAAATTTTTATATATATATATATACATATAGATATATTTAAAATGTGCCATTTTTATTATTGCTTAGTAAAATATGTCCTGTTTCTGCTGTAATTATTCCTTGGTCAGGTTGCAATGTCAGCAGTTACTGCCACACTTCTGTCAACATATGCATTAATGTTAGTGGTTACTTTTTCTTAAATAAAATGGAGTGTAGGTATTTTGAGGTACTGGGCTTTTCCTTCGTTGGGTTAGGGTGTGTACAGCAATAAGCAGGTTTTCGATCCAGTACTTAGTTCGTGTACAAATGTAATTATGTTCATTGTGTATATATTATACAATGAGCACATACGATGTAAGTATAAGAAGCCACTTACGATTGTTCAGATACAAATGTTCATATCCCATTTCTTTTATATCATATTAAATAAATGTTGACGTTCTTAAGGACTTGTATGGTTAGTATTTCTTCCAGCAAACAGAGGTCACGCTGCGTTCCACCTTTCGGCGTGGGGAACGCAGCAGTTCTTATCTCATTGGCGACATCACCTGTCAACCAGAGTAGCAGCGACAGACTCTTCCGAGATTCCAGTCTTCCTCTGCGGGAAAGAAAGAGGCTGCAACACAGAGCAAAAAGACACAGGACACAGAGGTTCAGCTCCTGACTCTCCCAGGCTTGTGTCTTGATGCTGGAATAATCACGGAGTCGTTCCGTGGCCCCGTTCCCTGCCTGTTTACTTGGGAGGCAATAGCCAGGCTTAGTGGGGTGTGGTGAGTAGTGATTCAGTATCCGCCGGTGTCGACGGCCGCCTTCAGTGGGGTTAAGCAGAGAAGCACGATGATTCCTCGAGGCTTTGACATCTGCAAAGCATCTTCCAGAAACTGAAAGAAAACCTGAAATAATTTGTCAAGTGTCATCATGCTACAGATGTTCCTGGCTTCACGTTTGGATCGTTCACAGCTGTCTGAATTTGCCTGAGACAAAAGAGGTTTAGAAAAGGACGATGAAAAATGAGAAGATTTAAGGGAAAGCTTTTGAATCTAGGATGTAACGCTGAGAAATCTTTGAAAGGCTCAGGCAACTGCCGCGTGCTTCAGTGCATGTGTGTGCCAGAAGGGGTACGGCAGGTTTCCTGAGAAGACGACTGCCAGCTCCCGTTGCGCTTTTTCATCATGCAGATCACACCCTGTTCACGTCAACGTTGCTGTACCGGAGACTGTGTAACTCGTGCTTTTCCACTGAGGAGTGCCTGAGAGGGGCACAGTTTCACATTAACTCTCTTTGTGTTCGTTGTACGCTTCTGCCTGTCCCAGCTCTGCTGCCAGTTCTTCCTGAGGCTCCCTACCACAGAGACACAGAGTGTGCCGTCCCGTCTGCCTGCCGTTTCGCCGTTTTCCCTGAAAAGTGAAGAAATAGGAAGCAGAATTTAGCAGCAGAACTTGGAGGGTCATCGTGCCGGAGTTGGCTGAAGGAAGGGTGGTGAATCATGATGCAAGCAGGCAGCATCCAGCTGAAACTTTGGCCAAGTAGCCTTTTTTCTGGTTTTTGGAACAGTAGCCCCGAATTAGTGCATCCTTCCACCCAAAACAGAGAGCGAAGAAGAGGAATGCGATTTTTCTTGCTCAGCCAGCTGGGGTTGAGGTTCAGTGGCATCACTGGAGCACGTGGGGCAGAGCAAATAGGGGACCCCCTGTTCTCTCCCTAACGCTTGCAGAGAGAGCCGTGCAGCTGTCGAGCGTCGCAATCGCTTTCTGTCCGTGCTGCCAAGAAAAGGATTGCAACCAGTAGAGGAAAGAAGGACTGAGTGGGTTTTGGACATTTATAGCTCTCGCCTGTGTTCAAAGCAGTTGGCAGTTCGGTGTGTCTGCCAAGTACAGGCAGTGTCTGCTGCAGCTGGGGGAGGGCAGGAGGGGTGGTGAGCGTTTGCTGGTGTAACCGTGGGCCAAGAGAGCGAAGGTAGATGACGCGGGAATGTGGGAACGGGCATAGGCTACGATTTCACTTCCTGTGGGCACTTGCAGCAAAGACTTGCCGTTTCATTGGGTGCTCTATTTTTTTTGTGTCTTACGGCAAAAATGTATGGCTTTGTGTTATCACAGAGCATCTGCTGTCTCTTACCTCATCAGAGTAACTCATCCCAGTGAACACACTCCTGAGATAGAGGAATATCAGGATACTGATACTGTCAGCCTTCAAACGTCTATTTTCAGTTTGTACCTAGGATATTTTTATATTTCTGACCGATCGCTTTATTGGCTATTGCACTGACACTTGTATATATGGAACATGTGCTTTTTTTTCCAAAAGCAAGAGTCCTTAGGAATAATGCAACACATTCTCTACAGATGTTCATGCTTTTCAGAACCAATTACATCTATTTTTGTCTTTTGTTCACCATTTGCATTGTTCCAAGACTACTAGAGAATGTGATTCTTTTAAGACCCTTAATAAAGTGACATTACTCAAAAAGTTACAGTTGGTGTCTTGGCAGTTTTTGTATGTCATGGGCTGGCTCAAAGAGAGAGACCTCGCCAGGCAGTTGAAACCCAAGCCTTGTTTATATTGTTACCGAAGGGGAAAAAGTAGTTTTCAGTTAGTATTTCCTCATAATTATATCTGTCATGAAATTAACCCAACAAGGTTCTGTTTTCAGGAAATCGGAAAAAAAAAAAATTAACAGTTCATTTCGATCTAAATTGCTTTAATTGGACAGTCTGGGAAAGAATTATGACCCACCCTGTGGTGGTGTAGTAACTAGATGTAGTAACCAGTAGTACGTACATGAAAAGTGTTAATGGATTACGCTGTTAGTAATAGATCCACTAGGTTTTCTAGTACTTGGGCTGGTGGCTGAAGTTGTATTGTGGTTGAATAAAGCAGCAGAGTGGAAGATCTTTAATCAGTGGTGGTGCTGGGTAACTCCTACCCCAAATTTTTCATTATACTGTAGCAATAAAGTGGTGGTTTTGGGTTGTTTTTTTTTCTTTTCTAATAAAACAAACCATAAAACATACTCATTCAAATCTCAGAAGTGGATCATCACGTCTTGTCTGCACAATACTCTCTTT